CATCAATATGCTTCGTTCTTGCATGAAATACTTGATTTTTCACTAAGTGAACAGCGCTCTGACTGTCACAATGCAATAAGGCGTGCTTTTGACTAACTCCCAAGTCTTCAAGAAAACTTTGAAGCCAAATAGCCTACTTCACAGCTTCAGTAACCGCCGTATACTCTGCCTTTGTTGTAGACAAAACAACTGTTTACTGTAAGGTAGACTTCCAACTGACTTGAGCTTTTGCAAGAGTGAACAAATATCCAGTCGTTGATCTTCGCTTATCCAAATCACCCGCGTAGTCAGAATCACAATATCCAACTACACACTGACCAAATTCATCCTGCTCATAAACTAATTAAACGTCTACAGTACTATGGATGTACCGTAGAATCCATTTCACAGCTTGCCAATGACCTTTACCAGAATCATGCATATACCTGCTAACAACACCAACTGCTTGTGAAATGTCGGGCCTTGTACACACCATCGCATACATCAAACTGCCAACTGTATTTGCATATGGGACTTTATCCATGTGCTCTCGTTCTTCATCACAATTTGGCGATAATTGGGCACTTAACTTAATATGAGGGGCAAGTGGTGTACTTACAGGTTTTGTCTCATCTTTTATGCCGAAACGTTGTAGTACCTTATTCAGATATTGCTTCTGAGTTAAACAAAGCTTGCCTCTCCTTCTGTCCCTATTTATCTCCATCCTGAGAATTTTCTTAGCTTTCCCCAAGTCTTTCATCTCAAACTCTTGATTCAACTGAGCCTTCAAATGATCAATCTCCACTTGACTCTTTGATGCAACCAACATGTCATCCACATACAAGAGTAAGTAAATGAAAGATCCATCTTGCAGCTTGCATAAATACACACAATGATCATGTCTGCTTCGCGTGTACTTCTGCCCAATCATAAACTTATCAAACCTTTTGTACCACTGTCTCGGAGATTGCTTCAGTCCATACAACGATTTGTTAAACTTACAGACCCAATTCTTTTTTCCAAGAATTTTAAATCCTTCTGGCTGAGTCATGTAGATTTCCTCATCTAAATCTCCGTGTAAGAACGCCGTCTTCACGTCAAGTTGAGCTAGCTCTAAATCCAACTGTGCTGCTAAGGCCAACAAAATTCTAATGGAAGAGTGTTTAACAACTGGAGAAAACACTTCAATATAATCAACTCCTTCCTTCTGAGGTAGCCTCTAGCCACCAATCTTGCCTTGTAGCGCATATCATTTTTCTGAAGAAATCCATCTTTCTTTGCAAATACCCACTTGCATCCTATCGCCCTTTTGCCTTTTGGTAGTTGCGTCACCTTCCAAGTTTGATTCTTCTGGAGAGACAACATTTCTTCCTTCATAGCCCCTTTTCCACTTCTCATTTTTTAAACTCTGAATTGCATCTTGAAAAGTGAAAGGTATGTCATCATCAACAATTGGAAGTGCTTAAGCCACCATATCTGCAATCGAGCAGGTTGTTGAATCTCTTGTCTGGGCTTTCTCAATGCAATGGTAACTCTAATGATTCTTGAGTCTGGATTTCATCATCCAATGAATCCTTTGATATTGGTTCGTCGATCATAGTTGGTCGTCTCGTCATCGCATCTATCTCCACCTGGTTCGGTGTCAACTCCACCTGTTGGGTTTGCGTCGTCTTTATCATACCTTGTTCATCAAATGTAAAATCTCTGCTAAACACAGTTTTGTTCGTCTCAAGACACAAAAGATGATATCCCTTCATGCCAATTGTGATTCCCATGAACAAAGCCTTTTTTCGCTCTTGGGTATAACTTTGAATCCTTCACATGATAGTACGTAGGACACCCAAAGACATGTAAAGATCCATAGTCAGCAACAGGTTTTTCCGACCATACCTTCAACGGTGTTTTGCCATCTTTTGCAGATGACGACAATAGATTTATGAGGTGTTGCGCGTATGTTACAGCCTCAGCCCAGTACTCCTTGCCCAAACTAGCATTGAACAGCATACATCGAACTTTCTCCACCAATGTTCGATTCATGCGCTCCGCTAACCCATTTTGTTGTGGTGTCCGTCTAACGGTGAAGTGCCTAACAATCCATTTTTTCGGCAAACTTCTTGAAAGGGATCACTTGTATATTCTCCACCATTGTCCGTTCTTCATTCCAGTCTGATTCTCAATTTGTGTCTTCCATGTAATGAAGACACCAAACACTTCATCCTTCGTCTTATAGTGTACACCCAAACACGTCCGGAAAAGTCGTTGATGAAAGTGACAAAATAGCATCTTCAGTCTATTGATGGGGTCTTAGAAGGTCCCAAAACATCCGAATGAACATAATCCAAGACACATTATGTATTATGGATAACCGTTCCAAACTTCACTCTCTTCTGCTTTCCCAGAGCACAATGCTCACAAAAGTCTAATTTGCACACTTTGACATCTTTCAACAATCCTTGTTTTGTCAATGTCTGCAAGAATTTTTCACTAGGGTTGGTATCGGTTAGGTTACCGAACCGATAAGACCAAACCGATACCGTACCGATTATTTCGATAACAACAAAATAAGAAACCGCTACCGTACCGATAGTTATCGGTAACCGAGTTTTCAGTTATCGGAAACTCGGTTCGGTATCGGTTTTTACCGATAAAACTGAAATTTACCAATAAATATGCAATTTGATTAAGCTCGGTTTGGTAACGGTTTTTTACCGAAAAAAACCGAAATTTAGCAATAATAATGCAACTTGATTAAGTTCCAACATGATTAAGTCCAACATTCCAATAATAACAACATTCCAACATTCATCCACCAATAATACCCAACATTCATCTACCAATAATACAACTTGCAAGAACAAACCTTCATCCACCATGTTCCAACATGATTAAGTCTAACAATCAAACAATAACAACATTTCATAATTCAAAGTTCCAACATGATTAAGAAAATTAAATAAACTAATGCAACAACATCAAGTCCAATATCACCAATCTCTCCAAATTCCAATCCGCTACTCCTCCTACATAAGAAAAAAAAATTGCATAAAGAAAATAAAAATATTGTTATTATATTTTAAAAGAAATAACACTAATTATAATAAAATTAAACTACAAGAACCTCATCTATTAATTTGCTCGATGAAGTAGCACCACGTCCACCACGGTTTGATCGATCGGGTGGAGTTGTACTTTTAACTCGAGGTGGTGGCATTTCATTAATATTGGGCATACCTATAAAATAATACAAATAAGTCAATAACCAAAAAATAATTCATGCACAATATGAATACAAAAATATTAATAAAATAATACTTACTTTGTTCCAATTGTTCGAAGTTCCATGTAGAACTCAAGCTCTTCGTCCGTAGGCTCCTTGTGAAATTGAAATTCCTCTCCTCTTAGCCAATCATTCGTGCAAACTAACGCTTCAACCATCCTAGGCGTCAAAGAAGCTCTAAACGGATCCACAATCCTTCCTCCAAGGCTAAAGACATTTTTCACTAGCTACGGTCGAACTAGGGAAAGCAAGTACATCCTTAGCAACCTTGGAAAGAATAGGGTAACTTGAGAGTTTATTTTTCCACCACTCCAATAAGTCGAAATCATCATTCTTTGTACTTTCATATGCATCATTAAAGTACTTGTCAATTTCATTAGCTATCTCTTTGAGTTTTGCTTCTTTTATTTGTCTATTAAGTGTCCGCTCTATCCTCAATTCCACATCATCGTCATCAATACCATGATCAACATCATCATCCTTATCCTCATGCACATCCACATGTGACTTTTTCATGCTTGTTTCCTTGTAAGTTTCATACATAAGATACAAGTGTGCTTTCACCAAACTCATAATGTGCTCAACTTCATTAAGAGTGTAGCCAATCTCCCCTAATTGCAACTCCATCAATTGAAATTTATATCGCGGATCAAGGGTTTGAGCTACGAACATTAAAATGTTCATCTTTTCGAAAGAGCCCCAATATTTATCAAACTTCCTCTTCATAGAAGTAGCCACATTTTGCAACACAATATTTTTTGTATCTCTAATTTTAGACTCAATCTCAATCTTTAAGTTCATCAAGAATTTTAAAACAAGATGTGAGGTCGGAGTCTTGGTGGCATCATAGAACTTCTTGAGGAAATGAGCAAATCCCATAGCTTTTTCCCAATCTTCATCCTCCGGAGGCCCCACTCTTTCCTCTTCAAAGTATGTCCCAAATGGCCGAAAGTCTTCCACCAACCTTGCAAACACACCTTTAAACTTGCAAGCACTATTAAGCATGGTGTATGTGGCATTCCATCGAGTCACGACATCCATCGGGATAGTTGACATTTTATCCATCTTCTCTAAAACTGCAAACTCTCGAAACTTATCCAACCTCGCACTAGAATAGTAAATATACTTCACACAATTTCGAATGCCTTCAATGAACTCTACTAGCTCTTTCATCCCATCCTTCACAATCAAGTTAATTATGTGATAAGCACACCTCATATGCAAGTTTTCATCAAGCATAAGACCAGGGCCGTCTCCAGAAATTTGGAGGCCATAGACAAGTTTGTCTTTTTCGAATTTTCTGATTTGAACTTGTGTGGCAATTAGGCTATTTGCAGATAAAATCATAGAAGAAAAAACCTAATTAAAAAAGACTATTAAATAAATAAATAAATAGTTAAAAAAAATCTTGTTTTTCTAGACTTTGAAATTGATAAATTACCTATGAGTTACGAAGATCTTTAATAATTTACATTCAAGCAGTCATTAGAACAACAAGGAGAAGAAAATAAAAATCATATTACTGCAAAGCATATTTATTATCACACAATTGTTCTAACCGAACATCATAAGAAAAAAAATGAAATATTTAGGACCTCAAATTTCCACACAAAGTATATATTTTGTCATTAACTCATTCATTAATTGGCCTCTTTATTTGTATAATGGGCCAAAATCATCACAAATACATAACATTTTAAAAAAAATGGGGCCCCAAATATATGGGGAGGCCCTAGGCATGGGCCTAGGCTGCCTCCCCAAGAAGCCGGCCCTGCATAAGACTATCATGCTTCCGGAGTTGCTTCTTCAAATACTCCATGGCCACATCATTGGAACTCGCATTGTCCATGGTAATGGTAAACACCTTACTTATGCCCCATTCGACCAACTTCTCTTCAAGACACCTTCTTATGTCTTCACCCTTATGAGTAGTAATTTTACAAAAATTAAGCACCCTTTTGTGTAAGTGGAAATCCGAGTCAATAAAATGGGTCATCACCACCATGTAATTAATATTTTGGATAGAGGTCCAAGTATCGGTTGTGATACTCACACGGAGATCACCAATGATGCTTTTGATCTTCGCTTTCTTCTCGCAAAATAAACTCCACACCTCCTTCGCAATCTTCCTCCGATTAAGAATCTTATAATGAGGTTGAAGATCACGAATGAATTCTTTGAAGTCCGATTGCTCTACGGTTCGAAAAGGCATCTCCGCTTTGATAATCCACTTTATACACATATTGTCGAGCCTTTTTTGGTTGAAGTCGGAAATTTTTACTTCACCTCCCATCATCGATTGAGTTAATGTCCGTTGGCTCCTATCCATCACCACACGAAGAGGAGAACTCTCACACCTATAATACAAATGGTTGAGAAGGCCTCTTGTTCCATTCCTTTTAGTATCTCCCGGCATTTGTAATTCACAATGGTTGCAAATAGCAACTATCTTCTCCATTCCTTCATTTTGAATAGTTTCTTTTTTCAATGTTGTCAAACGATGCTTCTCTCATTCCTCTTTTTTGTATTGCTTGTTTGTGAAACATTCGTGTTTCTCGTGATTTCTTCGATTTGATTATCTCCGTCTTTCATTTCAATGGGAGTGCTACTTATAGCCGGATTAGTCGAACTCACACTCTGACTTTCCATTCCTAATACAAAATCAAGTATGTATATTAAAAGTTAAAACACATACATTGAAGTAAAGAACCACAAAAACGTTGAGTCAACAAAGCCCGCAATTCACAAAGATATCAATCCATTTAGGTTTTATTAAAGAAATGAACATTTGATATTGCTCATTCATCAAGCTCCCGTCAGCAAATACTACTGCCAAATCCACAAAGAGAAAAACACCGGATTTAAATGAAGCATAAAGATGACTGTTATATATTATTCCCATTAAAATGTTGTTTTTGCAATTATCACAAACATTATTGTCTTGAATCCATCCAAAAGACTCATCCAATCACCTACTGCTGGCAGGTTCAAGATATTCCATTCAATAAGATAAATTGTGTTT